AGCATTGTTAAGTCAGTATGTTGTACACCTGAAACTAATATAATCTTGTATGTCAGCTATATTAAAACAATAATTTTTTTTAAAGGTACAGGCTCCTCAGTACTTGTGTTACATTGGTTAGGAATTGAGGGATTGATTGATATTCTTTTGTGAGCTCTAAAACTTGTGTGGCCTTGGTCAAGTTATTTTCTTCCTCCTGTACCTCAGTTTCCTCATCTGTAAAATGGTGAAAACCATAGGTTGTTAGAAGAATTAAAGGAGTTCATATTTATAAAGTGTGTAGAGAATGCCTGCCAAGATGGTTAGCACTTAATAAATGATAGTTATTATCATTGCACTTGAGTTTGACTCCTGACCTGTCTTTTTTTTTTAATCTGTGTGGTTTGGGCAATTTACTTATGGAAATAGGTTAGAGAGGTTAGATAAACCTGCAAGAGGTGTGTAATAAGTACTCAATAAATGTTAGCCAAAAAAAAAAAAAGCAGGCAGTGTCATATGGGAGAGGACATTCATTTATTTATTTAAAAACATTTACAACTGAAATAATAAAAATACTTTTATGCAGATACAGACTGTCTTGCCTTTGTCATATCAGTAAATTTTCCTCATAGATTAGAAAGGTTTCTTTAATCTCATTAAGAAGTTTAAAATGGGTTTCATAATAACGCGAGATAATTGACTTTTAATCTGGACAAGTTTTGAATGCAGAAATGTCAAACACAAGCACCACATTGCAGTGCTTAGTTTGATGGCTTCGTCCAGAATCCTAGGCTGGCAGTGAAAACTGGTTTTCTGAGTATTAATAGGGACTAAGTACACCGGGCTTGACTTGACAGGGAGGGAAATGCTCACATTATGCAAGGAATGCAGCTTCTTCCTGGGATGTTTTCTCATTTGAGGCCTATTAAAACCTCGTCTTGCTATTCCTGGCCCTCTTAGCACCACTGACGTCGCTGGATTATAATCAGCCCACTGAGTGGCTATATTAAGGAGCGGGCCTGTGAGAATTGAGAAAGTGGAAACTGTCTTATCCCCCAGCGTCAGACTAGACATCCCTCCTGTTGGTAGTGACCGTTTACATCTCCACTACTCACAGGTTCTGCACTGAAATTTACTATGAGAAAACGAGAGGATTTTTCCTCCTTTAAGAGAGATGCAGGTGATGGAATCATTACAGCGGAATATTTGTATAGCAGTGAGCATGAATTTAGCATTGATTTGATTATTGCAGCGTGTGTTCCAGAGCGGCTGCCGCCCATTTGCAGCCTAATGTGTTTATTACAGTCTTCCCGGTGGCATCTTGAAGTGTCTTCCAACTAAAAAATTCATGAGCATTATTGGCTTTCAGTCAGAAAATGGAATATGTCTTCAAGTCACCATCTAATACACCACTTTAAGGCCATTATACAAAAGTAAATCTACGAGCGGCACATATTGAAAAGGAAGGAATTTTTAGCTTAAACATTTGTTTATACACTGTTATTATTGTTCTGGGGAGTAAGAAAGAGCCTAAGAGAAGGTAGGTGCTGAACTATTTCACTCAGAACAGAATGGTTGTAGTTGTAGGATATGTCATTTTCTTTAACCTCCTCTCCACCTGTAAACTGTTAGCGAGGTATTATTGAAAAAATCCTATTCTAATAATAGTAGTATGTATTTGGCTTATTGCAGCTAATTTTCAAAAAGTAAAGTATACAGTAAATAGCTCAAAAGTTGTGAAGTTAAACTGAGAAGGTTTGCAAATAAGATGCCTTTATTCTGGATTTACTTGAAGCAAGTCTCTTAAAACTTTGCAACTACTGTCACTGTTTGAATTATGTGAGGTAAATTAAAATGTTACTGTGTGAAAAGCAAGAAGCAATCTAGTGTTTGGTAAACATGAAGTTAAAGTGTTCTTAGGATCTAATAAAAAGTAATAATACTTGGGGGAAATAATATACTACTTTTGTAGCTGAAATTTATTTAGGAAATACTGTATGGCATCTCCTATGACTTGGAAATGCACCCCTTGTTTTGCCAGTGGGAAGAACATGTTTGATTTTTCTATGTGCTCTTGTCCCTGAATTGATAAATCCTCATAGGCCTAGGTCTACTTCTGTTGTACTTGCACGTGATTCTTCTTGGTTTGCTTGTTTGTATGAATCAGCAATATATTCTTGCATAATATGCATATTTGCTGCAGAGAATATTTAGCTTTTACCAAAAGACCCCAAAATAATGTCTACTTTGGGTGATTTTGCCCAGTTGACAGTGTTTGCAAAGAGGTATTTCCCTCTGTTGATTTCATGTCTCTACTTCTGTATCATATGACTGGCTTTCAAGGCTGGCCCACTTTTTGCTACCTTTCTCAGGCATCTAATCCTAAAAGCACATTTTGTGTATTTAAACATTAGATACCACTGTGCTTTCTCATGCTTATCAGGGTCTGGCCCAGAAATTTTGCTTTGTAACATAAAGAGATCCCTTCCGCAGCACAGTGTACTTTGAGGGAGAAACTGTTTCGAGTGTAGAATGCACTCCTGATAAAGAAATAGTGACTGCATCTTTTTTATTTTTAATATATTTTTATTTATTTCAGAGAGGAAGGGATAGAGAGATAGAAACATCAGTGATGAGAGAGAATTCTTGATTGGCTGCCTCCTGCACACCCTCCACTGGGGATTGAGCCCGCAACCTGGGCACGTGCCCTTGACTGGAATCGAGTGAGGAATCCTTCAGTTCGCAGGCTGATGCTCTGTCCACTGAGCCAAACCAGCTAGCTCAGTGACTGCATCTTTAACTGTGTACCTCTGAGGATGGAGGGCTCTGAAAGAGTATCTTTTCCTAATGAATTTAACAGAATAGAAATGGAAAGGTGTCTAAGTAAGGATTTACATACACATTCGATATTACCTGAGCATTTCTTCATCTTACAAAGTTGGTAAAGGATCAGACTGCAGGTGACAGCACAATGCCATGTACTGTCTCTTGTAGAGAGGGGGCAGGAATAACCTGGAAGGCCTTGGGAGCTGTGGAAGCCTTCTCATGAAGAACTGGCTGATTTCTCAGGCGGCTCCTCCTCCGCTAGGTGTTGATAGGAGAAGCTGTGTCCACAGCTCTTTGTACGTCAGTTCATTATAAATTTCATTTCAAGGTAAGCAATTTCAGAGAATGCCTTTGTGAAAATATTTCTTGGAACTAGCAATAGAGATCTGGTGTTTGACCACTTATTATGTTTGCATTTCAGCAACAACATTATCCTTATTTATTCTTTTACTGAATTTGTTCAGCGTACGATAAATCTGTCAGTTTTATAGGCCTCGCGTGGAAGATGGCCAATTCTGATAAGAGATAATATGCACATTATCATTTACATCAATTCTGCAGGATTAACCAGATTTAATGGTATGAGGCTATGTTGTGAGCGACAGCTTCCTTAGCTTAGAAGTTACATTGATGAATTCCATGCAAGAAGAGTGCTTTTTATTTTCAATTGTGTTGAGGTTTAACGTTTTCCTTTCCTTTCCTGTCAATACGGTAAGGATTTAACTGGCATTGTTCACCCCTCCCAGAATATTGTTACTTTAAAAAAAAACTGATAATCTTGTGCAGAAACTCTAAGGTCTGCTTTATACCAGTTGCTCTCAGAGGGTGGCCAGGAGGCGTGCTGTCCCATTGAGCAGGACTGTTGTTGTGTTGTAGATGGCAAGAAGGGACAAGTCAGAACTTCTTTTCCAGTCTTGTCCTTCCACAACCCCCAACATCTGGGAGAAACTCTTCTCAGTGACTGTAATTACCATCAGTTACGACCCAAGAGCTTGCTTGTGTCGTTTTCAGTTTTTCTGATGTATGTTGAACAGTTTCAGCATTGAGAGTGAAACGCTCAAGAATTTTAATTTCCTGTGAATGCTGAAAACATGCAGAACTTTGAAGGAACTCTTGGTTTAGGCCTGCTTACAAAATGAAATTTCCAAACCTTCAGGGCTGCTCTTCAGTACTTTTTCTCTCCTACCTTTTCGTTGGAGATGATTTCACTTTGATCTACAAAAATGCCTTAAAACTCACCCATCCACAGAGTTTCTTTTATTTTAGATGGTTTTTCCAAGTGTACGTGCACACTAGAAGTCATAGGCCTACCTACCTATGTAATCTATTGCTCTATCTATCTGTGCTTTTTATCGGAGTCACTTGAGTGGGGGGAAATTAACTCACCTAAGCCCCCAACCACACCTTCTGGTGTGAAATACTAGCATTGCTGGCAGCTGAGCTCACATCGGGCGTGAAGTTCTGTTTGCTCGCCTCACTAGTGAGGCTAACTGTTATTTATTTGGTTCATCCACTGAAGAGCAGGACATAACTCTGCTCCAGGATTACATCCACTCTGGCCCTGTGGCAGGCAAGAGACAGCGTGGGAGCCGGCCACCGCCCGTCACCACCTTGCTCTCCCTCCTCCTCCTTGCTCAGCCCTAACTTCACTGCCCTTCCTTTTTATTCCACCTGGGAATCTGTGGGGCTTTTCACGTTGGTTGAGGAGCAGTGATTCCGGGGCCTCCCCAGCCTCATGTTCGTGGCAGGCAGGGTGCGCCCACCTGTCCGTGGCCCAGGTACTACAGATCGCCCCCTGTCTTTTTTTTCCTTTTGGTGGTTTAAAGGGTGGTTGGCATCATGTACTGGGCATACACAGCCCAGGACAATTGCTCAGAAAAGGGACATATGGGGCAGACACAGAAAAATAAGGACACAAGCATGTTCGTAAAGCTGAAATGTTTAGGTTTTTTGTTTTGTTTTGTTTTTAAATATATTCTATTGATTTTTTACAGAGAGGAAGGGAGAGGGACAGAGAGTCAGAAACATCGATGAGAGAGAAACATCGATCAGCTGCCTCCTGCACATCTCCCACTGGGGATGTGACTGCAACCAAGGTACATGCCCTTGACCGGAATCGAACCTGGGACCTTTCAGTCCGCAGTCTGACGCTCTAGCCACTGAGCCAAACCGGTTTCGGCAGAAATGTTTAGGTTTTAAGGGAATGTATTCAAGGTACCATCACATAAGAAAAGGAAAAACTTGGCTCTTCAAAAGGAAACTAATGATGTTTTAAAACTACAATTACAGTGGTTTGTGAGCCAGCCTTCAGTAGGTACAAGTAAAATATAAACAGTCTGCTAAAATGGCCTTAATATACATAAATCAGAAAACATTCGCTCCTTGCTTCACTCACTGTCTCCTAGTCCCTTGTTGAATACCTCAGTGCCGTCCCCGCATGCAAAGGTACAATTATCCGTGTCTCTATTGGGGAACTTAAAAGTAGACAATGCTGATGCTAAATCCCAAAGTCTGTACATACGACGTAAGTAAAATGGTCACATTGTAATTGTCTGTTGAAAAACTTTCTGATCTTTCTGATAGAACTATACTTTTTACTATACATCAACAAACTTATCACATACACCTACAATACAGGGCATTTTGTTATATGTTGAGGGTTACATTTGCATGATAAAAATTTACTTGAAATCTTAGGATTTATAGAAGGCTGCTTCCAGGGTAAAAAGTTCCTGGGATTTTTCTGATGGTGGTGGCGATGGCGGTGTTGGAAGCTTTCTTAGATTGGATGAGTAATGTTTTTTTGTCACATGCTCATGAGTGAAACCCTGGGAATTGTGGTTCCAAGAGAAATACAGAAAAAAATACAGAGTGTAGGGCATCACCTGGGAAGAGTTTGGTGTCCAGGTTTTTGTTTGGTCTCTGGGCTTCTTTCCTGGGCGTCACAGTCAGAGGAGTGCCTACGGTTGTATGACACCCTCACCTTTTACTTGTTTCTCTCCCCCTCACCTGGTTTTCTTCTGGAGAGCAACATCCCTCCGTGCTCCTCACACACCAGCTTGGCGGACCGAGGCTCAGTGAGTGCATGATGTGTAGGGAAGGCTTGCTGCTTCCCCCACCTGACCTGTGACTGCGTGGTTAGAGGAAGATTGGCTTATTTGATGGGAGACCCTTTGCTGTACGTTTCTGTGAAGAGCAGGAGTGGGTCGGCCTGGTTCTCTGTCCCAGTTCTTGCTAATCCGCTCCCCAGCCCTGTGCTGCAGATGCTGCTGATTACCCCATTTTACAGAAGAGGTCATTAAGGCATGAGAGGCGGCTTCGTAAGGTCCCACCAAGAGGTGCAGTTGGACATGGATGCTGGCCATTTGCTTCTCAGCTCTACTGCCGCTCATGGTCCGGTTTTGATGATTAAGTTCTGTCTGTAAATTTCTTGGCACAGAGTGAATGCTAAATGAATAGTAACTAAATACAGATTATGCCTATTATCAGCCCAGAATTCTGACGACAGCGATGGACCTTGGGGCTTGTTACACTGCTCCCGGCAGCAGAAAGCTCAGGCCTTGGCTTTCAGATTCGTCCCCTCCTGTGAGACCTGTTGAATACAATGTGCAATTGGTGCAAACTCCCTCTGCCGCTACAGTGTTTCTTCATCCTACTTACACGTGACTCCTAAAAAAATTAACTCCGCTGCCCGTGTGGGTTGGAGTTGAGTCCGGAAGGAGTGACTGTAGTGAGCCTGAGCATCCCAGATTACGAGGAGGGCACAGGTGGGCCGTGTGATCGGTAGGTGACAGCGATACAGTGGTCGCTCTCAGGTGTGTTTTCTTAGCCCACCTTCCTCTTTCTCAAATTCTTGACCTTCCACTGACTTGCCCTTCCCTCCAATTTTTCCAACCTGGAAAGGAAGAAAAGCCGCCACAGAAGGAGAAGGAGGGCGGAGGTGATTTTAGGAGCCTGGGGGACAGAAGGCAGAGGAAATAGCATGGAATTAAGCTCTAGGAAATATTTTTACAGGCTGGCTAAAACCTTTTGGGTTGCTTTTTACTTGTTTGTTTGTTTTTTTATTGGGGGGAGGGGCAGTTAGCAGTTATTGAACACCTTGAGTAACAACTGTCTATGTCCTCAAAATCTTTCTCAGTCTCTTTGTTAGTTTGTTGAGAACTCAGCCTCTGTTGCTGTTAGTTTGTTGAGAACTCAGCCTCTGTTTGCATATTTAAACATTATTTGGGTTCTACTAATGATGAACACACTGTTTCTCTTATTATATGTTCTTATATTTTCTTACTAGAAGGTATGCAGCCAGCAGGAGCCAGTAATTCTCCTCCTCGGTTAGGGTCAGTAATGTTACCTGATTTTTTTAGTATATCTTAAAACCTTGGGCAATAGCAGCAAGAACCCAGGGAGGGCCGGGGAGGGAGTCAGGGATGTGACAGGAAGCCCTGGCTGGGAGGTGTGCTCAGGTAGGTGAGCTGCCCTGGGTGGAGCACTGAGGGAGGGGCAGGGAGGTAGGAACCTCCTGTTAGAGGGCCACTGCTTAGGGAAGCCTTGTGCGGGCCTAGGAGAGAGGTGTCATATCTCGCTGTCGGATTTGGAAACGTTCAACTTTGTGGCGTGGCACTACCTCTTTCCAGAGCATTCTGTCATGGGTGAGCTATTGCGGCACGGGCTTCGCATTGGCCAACCCAAAACAGAGACTGGGAGGAGCCCCTTACCACACCTGTAGTTTCCACATGTGCCGGAGCGCGCCTGAAACTGGAGGCTGGTACAGAAACCAGGGCCAGCAGTTGTGGTTAATGTACTGATGAAATACGAGGCCTGGTGAAAGGGTATGGGCCCAGTGAGGTAGGCTTGTTTGTTTTTATGAATCGTAACCTTTGCGTGTGCTTAACCTTTTTAACAAGATTTAAAACAACAAAAAAAGCAGCCGTTTTGTTAAAAGTTAAACGTGAACATCAGTCAAAACCGTTGTCAAATTTCTGATAGGAGTCACAGTTTTTTCATTATTGGTAAGTTGATCAGACACTTGATCATCGGCTCTTTTCACTTTCCCCCTTGTTTTCTGTTTTAGTTGCTGATATGTGTTCAAGATGAGTGGGATGGGAGAAAACACCTCTGACCCGTCCAGGGCAGAGACAAGAAAGCGCAAGGAATGTCCTGACCAGCTCGGACCCAGGTTAGAGGATTGCCCACAGAAGCCACGTGCGGCTTCTTTGATATTGTAGCACTGATTTACGCCTGATTTGATACTGTGATTGGTTTTTCTCCTTAACAGTTAATCAAATATGTATTATTTAGCTGACGTTTTGGAGATGCTGATCAGTTACAGATCTTATTATTTTTTCTAAGGAGAGAAAAGCTACATTCTTCTGATATTCCCTGAGTACTTGACACTTAAAACCTCTTTATTCCATAATCTTGAGCTTTTCACACTCTTTTCTGTTCGATCACACTGTCATAAAGACAAGAAGATCCCAAACTAAAAGGATCTGCAGTTAATTTTATACTGGGTTTTATTCTGTATTTTTGTTTGTTAGTTTTAATGAGCAAGACATGAAATGTTAAATCCACTTGTTTTTGATTTATTTTATAACAAAGACTGTGACTCTCCAGTGAGCACAGCAAAAAGTTTTACAGCAAGTTCCATGTCATATATTATGGGTGGATGTATGAGTTGTTATAGCCTCCATGCAGGATAATTGAGCAGTACCTTTTTAAAGTTATAAATGCATATTCTTGTTGAACTAACAGTGTTCCTCTTCTAGGAATTTTCCAACAGTATACTTTTACATGTGCAAAATTATGTATGTTTGAGCTTACTTCTAACAGCGTTGTTCATCATTGCAAAAAAATTAGGAAAAACCTAAATGCTTGTAGGCTTGTATTTAAACTATTTAAATGTCTATAACCTGGAACACAATACAGGTTATTGTGAAAAAGAATGTGGACATTATTAATAGGATGACATGAAAAAAATCTGTTAAGAATATTTAAATCATGTCATTGACTTCAAAATTTAAATAGAAAGAGCAACTTCTATTAAATGGCCAGTAAAATGATGACATGGGGAACAGCAGGGAAGAGGACTAGAGATCGTCATTAAGAGAGGAAGAGAAGGAGAAAGAGCAAAGAGCAGTGTTTTATATTTCCTTCTCTCCTTGTAGTGCCAAGCAAAATAAGCCTGTTAAGTCACCACTGTCCACATCCCAGCTCCTGTGTGTTGCCTCTAGATTCCCTAGTACTTCCTGGCTAACCACAGTCTGTCAGTCAAACTGCCTGCAGTGCTCAGAGCCCTCCTCCAGCAGGCAGTGTGGTAAACTGGCGTGTTCCGTGGAGGGGCGTTCTCTGTGCAGGTGCCATGGGGAGTGGGGGCGGGGGGGTGACTCCAGCCCTCTCCCTGGCACTCTCCCATCTTTGTAGCACAGCTCCCCCTTCACCTATTTGTCATTTACTTATTGTCTTGGGGAGTGAGAGAGGGGAGAGATGGAGGGAGGTAGAGGTGGGTATAGGGGCCCAGAAGGGGAACGTGGCTCCTACACAAATTCTAGCCACTCCTTCCCTTTCCCTGCACTTAATCAGCTAGGAGTGAGGAATACACATGAGACATAGGAAAACCAAATTCAGGTCTTTGCTCTACTGGGTGATCTTGGACAAATGGTATAACCACTGTAAAATGGGGAAATTATATTCTATCTTAGGTTTATTAGTTGGTGAAAATAAATCTAATATTTAGAAGCTAATATATGGAAGTCTATTACAAACTACAGGATTTTATAAACTGCTGTTAAATGCAGATAATACCAATTTGTTAAAAATACAGAAAGCGACTACATTAAACAATTTGCTTTGTTTATATATTGTATTGTTTGAATGTCTTTTAGTGGGCCCTCTACTGTACTCAAGAAGAAAAAGGTCCACTGTTATTATCAAAGGGAACTCTTGAATTTGCTGTTTATCAAATTAAAATGAGAAGATCTTGCCAGTTTTTTCCCTCCCTACCATTAACATTTTAAAACTTTAGTTGAACTTGGATCGTTTGTTTATATTTTGCATGTCATTCAGCTTGGACAGTTAACAGCTACCCTGGTCAGTTTCACTTTTGTTTCTAGTGGTACTGTGGTTTTTGCATTATCTAAAAAGCCTGTTTGGTTTGATTACTAACATCTTGAAGAAGTCTGTGAAATTATATAGATTTATTTATCTTAATTTTTTTATGCTTTATCAAAAATCGTTGAAATTTATTCTTATTTTAACCAGGTTAACTTCCCTTTCTTTTATTGATCTTACATAAACTTCAAAATTTTTATGGACGTAACTTCCATTTTCTAAAACATAAAGGAATATTTTACTTACTCAGCAATAAATTTCATAGCCAAGCTTGGTGTCAAGCACTAGGTGAGCAAATTGTCTGATCCGTGTCAGTGGAAACAGTAAGCACATTGGACATATGATGACACAAGTAAATATATAATTATAAACTGGGGTAAATTTAATTTTTTAAAAAACATGCAACATTTAGAGCAAATTCAGGTTTCTCTCCCCCCACCCCCAAAGTACTTTTGTGTTTACATAAATAACTTCTGTTGGCTGTCTTTGTATTAAAACTTGTTTGACATGCTTATCTTTTTCAAAATAGCACTTCTTCAAATTCATAATAAAAACATGTTTCTTTTTTTTTTTTTAGCCCCAAGAGGAGCACTGAGAAACGCAATCGTGAACAGGAAAATAAATATATCGAAGAACTTGCAGAGCTGATATTTGCAAATTTTAACGACATAGACAACTTTAACTTCAAACCTGACAAATGTGCAATCTTAAAAGAAACTGTGAAGCAAATCCGTCAGATCAAAGAACAAGGTAAGAGGACCAAATTGATATTTTGGAGAGTTTCGTTGGTTTCTGGTTTTCCATGTGTGAGAAGTCTCTTCAGAGTCCCTTTAATCCATTTCTTCAGCTTAAATTATTGATGAGGAAATGATGTCACAGAGCAAGATGAATGCAAGTATCACTTGCAGTGGTGTATAAATAGGCTTTATGTAAAATTCACCAATTCCCTGAGGTGCGGCAGGGTGATGTCACTTTTCGTCTGGTAAACTCCGTGAGGTGCCCGCAGCCTCTGCCCATCTCGGACTGCCGGAGCTTGCATGGCAAGCGACTGTCATAATCTGCAAGAGAGGAGCCAAGCGAAGATGGAGACCAGAAGTAAGGAAGTGAGCCTCCTGTTCCCGCTCGTCAGCGTATTGGATGACGTCTGAGCTCCGACCGGCCCCAGCACTAGATTAGAATTTCATATCCTGAGTGACAGGTGATTTGAAAGGCTCCTGCCTCTACACGGAATTCTTTTGTGAAGTTGAAACACAGAACATGACAGCTTTCTTCCTGGGTTGTTTTTTTTTTTTTTCCTGAGATCGTTTTCTGCCTCTCTTCTTTGATATTTTTGCCTACAAAAAAACTTTAAGAAAATAATATTTGAAAAAACACATTAGACTTTGTGGTGCCAAGAAAAAATCTGTATTAGGCAAGTATGAACAGTGCCTCGGTGCTCAGGGCCAATATATGCTCTTGAAGTATTCACACACTGCTTCCCTTCAGGGCGAGGGAGATGAGTATCTCCTGTAATCTGTTTTTGAATGCGTCCTCTTAGAGTATCTACCTTTTATGTAATATTCAAAAGAGGCAGATTTTAGAACAGTGATGTCTTTGTCTATATAGGTATATGAGCCTGAAACCGCCTGATCCGATCTATTATAAAACCCCAGCTACCTACTCGCATATTATCATCAGAGCCTTTTCCATTTTCATGCATGTACTATTAAGCTAAATTTTATATAAAGCAATTTTACAAATGTAATTCTGTCTTCTAAGAACTTCTAGGGCTATACATATAGTATACACAATGCAGTTTCTAATACCAGCCCACCCTGAAAATCAGTCTTTATTTCCTGGCTTTTCTGTCAAGATTATATCATAACATTCACCATTCAAGGCGTTTCCACTCTCAATGCCTATCTCAGTCTCCCTTCATCTCTCTCCTTTTCCCCATGACACTCGCTAGTTACCAAAAACTCAGTTAATCTCCAGTGTGTATCTTCATTCTTTGGTATCAGCAAACGGATAAAATAATATTCCTAAAGTTCTTAGGAGAAAAAATTGGTTAAGGTTTCACAGTGTTCTGCAGTTGTCATATTTCTGGTTGCTGATATTATTGCAGTGGAGAAATCACTAAGTTTCTTGTTTCAGATTTCTAAGTTTTGAATAATTCAATTTTGTGAACATTGCATGGTAGGCAGTACTTTATACTTAAAACAGTTACATATATATATATATTTTTTTTATTTTTACTTTTTTCCCTATCAAGGTCTTGCACAAGGTTTTACAGTTTTGCAAAACCTTGGTAATTCCCCCTTCAAACCATCAAACATGTTCGGATGTGTCACGCTGGGCCTGTGCCATACTTTCACTGTGGGCTTAATCATGGGCTGCACACCACAACCACCCAAGAAGCAGCAACAATAAACACCCTGTCATGTCTTATTCTTCTAATAATGTTCCTATTAATTTGAAAACTAATGTGTTTTGAAAGGGGAAACAGAACTTAAAAACCAAATGAAAAGAACAAATACACTTTTAAGTTTTCAGCTAGTCTAGTACTGTAAGATGATTTCTTGTTTAGTAAACTGTCTTTAAAAAGAGCAGGACTTTAGAAGCAAATAGGACAGAAGCTGCATTTGTGCCCTGGTTCTGCCCCTGACAAGCTGTTTGAACCAGGGCAAAGTATTTCCTCTCTCTCAGACTCAGTTTCCTCCTTCAGAATTTAGCAAGCACAACATCGAGGTTGCACAGTTGTTGAAAAATTTATGAGCAAGTGCCTGTCGCAGTCGATGGTTATTAGGTATTCAGTAAGTAGCGTCCCAGAGGTGGCATTTTCATCACTTATACTAAGATCTTCAGACAGTGAGTGCTTCCTTCAGGTGGAAAGGGGTGGTTATGAACATCCTCCCCTCCAGGGACATCTGAAGCAGTGAGGTTCTTGGTGTCTGTGCTTGCTCCTCACCCTCTCCAGCTCAGCATGGGCCAGCGTGCTTCTCTCAGCAGCTGACAGCCACTAGGGCCCAAGAGCAACACAGAAGTGTGACCTGAGCCCTTCTGTCTCACTCCGTATGCCCGCCCACCCAGCCGATCCCCGTTACTCAGTATAAATAAATCTAACCATCATCTTGACAACATTGTCCAAGCTTAATTTGTATTTTAGCCACAGGCATCAGCCTGCATGGGATCATAACTGTCCTAGAGAAGTTAAGCTGGATTACATGAGATGTTGCACCAAAGAATACTTCGTCGGAATGCCGGGCTCATCCTTAGGGAACCTTCCAGAGTCCAAGGCGCAGGCAGGTCAGCCAGCATGGCGAGCTCTTGCACTCAAGTCTACTCTGTCATCAGCTGCTCCTCAAGTTTCCGTCGCTTCATAAATAAAGGGAGAGAAGAAGGGATGTTTTTAACGGCCTAAAGGATGGGAACTTGGAGGGGAACTACCAGCTCTTCACGTAAAGGAGCATCCTCTTGTATGAAGTAGTAGGGAGACTCGTGTTTGTAGCCACCAGCCCTCGGAGAGCGTTCACAATGGGTGGGCCTTGTTAGGAGCAGGGCAGGTCCAGAGTCTGCGCTTGAACCATTCCAGCAGCTTTTTGATACTGAAGGATGATGTTTCCTCCTGTTTGGTACGATGCTGATAAGTGTTTAAAACTTCAGGCTTCTATATCTTACAAACAGCAGTCATAAATGGTGAAAAAAACCTATTTCCTCATCGGAGGGCTAATATTGCTTCTGTTTCACAGAATAATAAGTAATACAAAAAATACAATAGTCTATTTTGAATTACAATGTCCAATTTTACACTTTTAATAAGAAAAGGTAAATCGAAATTTCTGTGGCAAATTCCTAGGCTCTTAAAAAATAAAATTGACTCAAACTACCTAATTAAAAACTGGTCAAAGCACCTGAACAGATACTTCTTCAAAGACATATAGATAGCCAATAGACATATGAAAAGATGCTCAATGTCAATAATCATCAGGGAAATGTAAATCATAACCACAAATATCACCTCACACCTGTCAGAATGGCTGTTACCAAAAAGACAAAAAGGATAAGTGTTGGGGAAGAAGTGGAGAAAAGGTGACCCTTGTGCACTGTGGGTGGGATGGTAAATGCATGCAGCCACTATGGAAAGCAGTATGGATATTCCTCAAAAAAATTAAAAATTAAACTACCACATGGCCCAGCAGTCCCACTTCCATGTATTTATCTGAAGAAATTCCTTGTTGGACTAAGCAACCTAAAAAGTCATTCTCATTTCTCATTCTGATTTTTCTAATGATACAGTTTCTATTGTAGTGCCAGTATGAGAACATTGGGATTGTAGATTACTTCGTACATTTGAATTGCCCCTAATATTGAGGATAGCATCAAAAAATAAAGAAGTATTTTAAAGAGGGTGAGGGCCAGTGATTTAGTGGAGTCAACTCGCATCAACCAATGAGAGCCAATTGTTACATTTCAAGAATTTTTATAAGCCAATTGATAAACAACCATTATTAAAAATCATATAGACTTACAATTAAATTATATTACAAAACAAGCATAAGAAAAACGAAAGCTCATCATTTCCTAATTATGCTACTTCATTTTACCCTTATCGATGCTGTAGAGGCTCTTTGTGTCATATCTGTTTACATGAGAGAAATACTATGTAGTGGTGGCTACACATCTCCTCCGAAGTCTGCATTCAATACCGAGCATTCACACCATGGAAATCTAAAAAACAGTAAACTCTACAAATCAAGCCTTGACTTACTGTTTTGCTGACTGTCATTCTAGACTTAAGAAAGTAGTGGAGAAAGTATTCATAATTAACATTAGAACATTACGTAGCCAATACATGCACACACAAAAATTATGACCAATGCAGCAAAAAAGTCACTCACAAGTTGAGAAACAATTGCATTTCTACACATAATATCCTCACCATATACCTATTATTTCACTTTTGTCTTATTCATTAACTTAAATGAAAAGGTCAAGTCACCTGCCCCCTCTCCAGCTCTCTGGTGGACCTTGTCGGCTCTTGCTTGTCCCTGTTACCTCAGTGACATGTTCAAAAATTTTTCTTTAAGGAGAACTAAAGAGGGCAAGAGTCATGGCAATTTTTATTTCACTCTTATTTACTTGAACACAGGAATGAATTTGGCCCTATCTTACTATTGGAGATCTGAAGCTATTATCTGTTTTCATAAAAATAAATCAAACTTTCTTTCCTTGTTTGACAATATAACCTGTGGTCGGCATTCTGCTCTTAACATTGCAATTTTGAATGAAGATAAAATGTTTTTTCACTGATCTGCATATAAATCGCTTTCCTTTTCTTATGTGGGTCAGTGGCTTGTGTTATTAATGAAATTAGTGAGCAGGGGGGGAATGCCTGCTCTTATTTTCTCCTCAGACCTCTTATTATTTTTCCTTAAGTCTATGAAAACGCTATTTTTGTTAGTTTAACAGCTTTCAGATGAAGAGGATTTGAATAATTTAATGTACCCTAATGCTTCACGATTTTAACAATTTATGACATGAGCTCTGATTTCAATGACTTACACTGCCTTCCACACTCTAGAAAGGAGGCATCCCTTTTTGCCTTGATTGCCTTGTATTATTATAAAAAGAAATTAATTCTGACACCCCACTCCCTGTATTGATTTTACTCAAGAGCAAACATTCAGTGATAAATTTTATTGAGTAAATACTATATGCAAGACATTGTTATTCACTGAGGGGGACTCTGACAGTCAGTAGTACATGGGCTT